AATTAATTCGTGTTTATTTCTTCCATAGTTTAGACAAACTTAAACTCCCTGTTAGCAAATAATCTTAGTTAACTTAACGACGAACCGTTTAAGTTTAACAATGCCTAAAATGTATGGAAAGAATTTGGATGCAAAAACTTGGAAGAATATAATGATCTCTATCTCAAAATAGACATACTTAGTCTAGCAGATGTCTGGATAACATTTAGAAAGACATTTATGCATCATTATAGCCTTAACCCCAGCCATTATGTATCTGCACCTTCTCTATCCTGGGATACTATGATTAAGATGACCAAGGTCAAGATCAAGTTATTTACAGAAATGGCAATAAATGACTTCATTGAAAAAGCAAAGCGAGGTGGTATTACTATAGCAGTATATAGACATTTTCAAGCAAATAATCCTAGCATAAGAGAGGAATTCAATCCATTGCAACCCATAACATAGATCTCCTATATCAATGCAAATAATCTTTATGGCTGAATCATGAGCCAATTTCTCCCAATTGGAAATTATAAGTGGGTTGCTAGTCAAGAATATCTAAAAAATAATCCTAAGATACAAAAGAAATATCTTGAAATGATACTCAAAACTGAAGCAAATGCATCACGTGAATTCTACTTAATGATTAATTCTCATTTCCCTCTAAAGACTCACAACTATTTAAGGAACTTACCACCAGCTGTGGAAAATGTTGCAGTAAAAAAGGATATGCTATATCCATATAATGCTAAGATTGTGAATGATATAGATGGTGGACGATTCTATGCAACAGAAAAATTAGTACCTCATCTTGGCTCACGGAAAAATTATGTCATTCATTATCAGGAGTTTCAGTATTATATAAAATTAGGTATATTTGTAAATGAGGTCACAGAGACCTTATCATTTAACCAGACGAACTGGTTGGTTCCATATATTGCAAAAAATACTAAATTACGCCAAAAAGCTAAGAATGCATTTGAAAAAGACTTCTTCAAACTCATGAATAATTCGATATATGGTAAGACTATAGAAAATGTTAGAAAGTATCAGGATGTTAAGATCATGGCCTATAATAATGAGTCAAATGAGAAGAAGTTTCTCAAAAAAATCAAAAGTCCAAATTTCAAGTATGGCAAATCACTTGGAGATATGCTAGTAGGTGCACATATGGGAAAAGCTAGTCTAGTTCTCAATAAGCCAATCATTGTTGGAATATCAGTTTTAGGTCTTAGTAAGCTTTTAATGTACCGCTTCTGGTATGATTATGTGAAAAAGAAGTATAGGGACAAGATAAAGCTTAGAGATATGAATATAGACTCCTTTTTATTCATAGTTGAGACCGAAGATATCTATAATGATATGGCAGAACGACCAGACCTCTTTGATCTTAATGATTCGAAGACTATTGGGCTTTTCAAAGATGAGACTTCAGGAAATGTGATTACTGAGTCATTTCACATTCGAGCGAAATCATATCATTATATTTTAGCTGATAAATCTACAAAGTCAAAGCATAAGGAGGTCAGCAAGAAGGGTATGAATGAGATAGCTATAGAATCATATATGTCAAGTTTAGAAGGATCTTTAATTAATGATCTGATAGATAAGTTATTATTAACAAATCAAGAAGTTAACGATTTAACAATGTGAACTAATGCTAATCCAATGACCCTAGTCTATCGGGATTATCTCTTCTAGAAAAATGCGTTTTATGCTAAGAATATAGGATTCTGATCAAAAGATCATGTTATATCTCTGGTTGAGTCTGAGAAGAAGGCTCTCTGTCCTATAGATACTAAACGTTAGATATTATCAGATGGGATAACCAGCTTGCCTTATGTGCATTGGTCTATTATAGTATACAAGAATATGGTCAAAAATAGTATCCCTCATAAAGTAGTCGAAAAAGAGTTATAAGGGCTAAACTCCCAGAGAAATATCAAAATGAATGTACGTCTCACATATCTAGCAAATTAAACTGAAATTAATGAAACTAAGGAATTATCATAATTAGATTAATGATATTACGCTTATAGTTATTATATTTTTTTTGTCAAAATAATTAAGCTATCTCCTGCAATACAAAAGGTACAAAGGAGGGTGATTAATAGACCGTAAAACTCTGCTTACTCTACAAAATTCCTTTTGGGTATTTGATATATAATCGAATGATCGAGCAACTCTAGATAATCTAAAAATTCATCTCAAATAATATATTGGGATAAGATATCTTGATAATATCTATTAAGTCCGCAATCATGTTTTAAATTTTGAGGGAGATATTCCTTCATATAATCTATAAGATTAGATTTCATTCATTGAAAGAAGCATCCTCTAATAACATGACCAACTTTTAGGAACCACTCAAATTGTGTAAGATGACTAAAATGACCATCTCTTTTATGTAGATATATAAGGGATTTATTCTATAATTTACTTATACTACAGTATTTATTAATTTCAGCATTATTATTATTATCAAATAAATGAAAAAGGATATTACACAAATGCTGGGAATATTAATAAATTCACTTTTTCTTTTTTCTGAATAACATATATGGATACAGCATTTCATTGGTAGCTTACTCTGGTACAACTCCTATAGAGATCTTTCCTATCAAGAAAGCCAAAGATAACTTCAAGCAATTCAGGTATTTCTAAGGCAAGCATTTATTAACAATTTATTTTTTGATTGAAATATTGCAACGGTTCTGCAGTATCACGTTTCGCAAAATCGATCTACAATTTGATAACTTCTAACCCATGATGTGACACAGTAAAACTTCCCAACTGTTAAGGCTATTTTGGGTTCCTGTTATCCAAATACTTCATGCTTTAGCTTGTTTTGAAGCTCTCGGTGTCCTGCATCTGGTCGAATTAGTTTGGGATTTCTACCTTATCTGTACCATGTTTCGTAGGCGGTTGAAGTTTCAATTCTTATATAGTATTAATAACACATTTTGGGATTCGCTGGGTAGCTATGAATTCTTACATAACAACCTATCAATTTCTCACCTCTTTTAGGTTTCCAGAACTGGAAACTAGTATTTTGTAGGTTGCTAGGTCATCATCATTTCTCATGCCACTTTTGTAATGTTGCCTCTACAAGATTCTTTAGTAGTTATATCCAAAATAATTGGCTTTACGATTTTCTGAATAACTACGCATCCTGTGATCAGAATTTTATGAAATCTGTTTTGGTAAATATCCAGAACCTTCTGAATCCAGATGTTCAATCCTCATCAAAATTGGGTCGTTGGTTGATGCGCTATTAGCGTTCTAGGTTCATTACAGCAAATCGGCCTTTTATGACAATTCCCTTCAAGCTTTGCTTTTGTGAGAGATAATCTAACCATTTTATTGAGAAAAATAATGGTATACTTTTTGCCTGAAAGCCTTGACCGAAGGAGGGTGTTAATATTTTTTGACTTTATTGATTGATTAGAGACCTGCATGTTAATATAGCTTAATTTCGGAATCATGAAGTTCTAAGACTTTCATGTTTTATAATGATCAATTGCAAGTTCCTAGTGATCAACTGTAGAAAAAATAATAATTATAAAAAGCTGGGTAAATTATAGGTATCTGTAAAAAAAAAATTTCTTTCAAATAGTGTATATTTTAACACTACCAATTCAATCAATCTTTTGCACATAAAATTTATATTAATCAAAATATAATTTTCACGTAGTAAATTATCAATCAATCAATCAATTCTCAAACAAATAAATTAATAAAATGCTATCATAAGTCATTTCCCTACTTGCATTCTTCTGTACCATAATAATAATCTATAAAATAATATTCCAGAGAGTTATAACTATTAAGAATCTCCAAGCTATTTTTTTGGGAATTTTAATCCTATATATAATTTTTGCTGGAGCATTCATCAAACAAAAGACTGAAAGAAATAGTGATCTTTCAAGATCCATCCTAGTCCAGTCTCTTTAGAACTCCTTAAATAACAAACCTCAAAACATGCATATTGAGAATGAATGAGAAATAAAACTATTTTACAAGATATGATTAGATTTGCAAGTGTTTGGTAACCAATATGATTTTCTGAGACTAATATGCATCATTTTTTACTCTGCTATAGTAGTACTGACATATCCAATCATCTAGTTTTTTTTATGAGTTCTGATTCCTTCTTTTCTACAGTAAAGACATTTCGCTTATATTTTTAAACTAATAGGGGAATAGTAATAGTCTTTCCATTACATGTGGCTTTAAATTCTCCTTTTATTAAAGGCTCCCATTCAGCTCAATATTGCCATTGAGTACAATCAAACCTTGATATAGCGAACTCTTGATATAGCGAATTTTTAAATCAATTATATTAAAATTACCTTACTATAGTGAACTAGCCAATTAAATTCTTTAAAAAATTTGTTATAAGCTTATAATGAAGTTGATACCCAGATCGTAGAATTCGTTATATCAAGAGTTCACTGTACTAAAAATTACTAAAGATTTAGCATTTCTATTCTGATCCTTTTCTGCAAGCATAACAGAAAATTCATCGATGATAGTGGCTGTATTTTCTCCAGAACCAATTATTATGGGAACATTATCTATAGTGCTGATGGATATGGATTGACTTGCAACCCCATTAAGCCTTTGAATTTTTTTCCTATTAATTTTAATACCTAAAAGCTCTTCGATAAGTTCAGCAATATTATCTGAAATATGAAAGAATCAGAGCCTATATCAATTATTGCACAAGATATTACCAAACCCCCTATTTTGCAATAAATAGTCACAATATCGTCAGCATTCTTTATTTGTAAAAAATTTATCTCTAAGGGCTTGGGCCAATATATTTGACTATTTTTTTTTCAGCTGAATGACATTGTGCATATGCTTTAATAGCATGATTTAGAGTATTAGAACCCACTGGTATTATATCATTCATAGGATCATCTAACTCGGTCTCTCTGGGATCCTTTAGCTTCTCTTCTATTGGAACTTGAATAAGAGGTATTTGCTCTATATTAGTAATTTGGATTAGCAGATATAAAATATCTATAATTTTATTTGTAACATACCCCCATACTTTTTCCCTTTTCATGACAGTATCATTTTTTATAGCCGTATTCAGAATCTAATCTTTCAATTTAGGGTGTATTGTATTAATATATTGAGAACCTTCCTTAAGAATTTCTTTAGGAATATGTTATATAATTGATGATAATATAGATTTTAAGACTACTAGAAAAATATAATCTATTATCATGGTTATAGGTGCTGAGGGTTCTTGCTTTTTTACAAGACTTGGAAGTAGAGGATTCCTTCTAATGAGTCTTTTTCATAGGTATTCTACTTCGCACCACTTTTTTTTTACAGATAGCAGTTTTAGCTAGTAATGTTTAAAGCAGTTTCATTATTATCAATGCATTCATCACTTTCTTCAACTTCTTTCTCAACTATGTATTCTATTTCAGGCTCTTTAAGATCTTCCTTCTTCTCAAATATGTATTCTATTTCAGGTTCTTCAGAATCATCAGAAGGTTCTCTTGAAACTGACCTTTCTCAACATTTTGGTATATATAATTAACCTTTTTAGTCCTCTTAACTCTAAGGCAATTAATCTTTGTATGGCCAGCCTTTTTACAGACTGGACAAAGATAAACAATTCATTTAACTGTTGCTTTTTGTATTACCTTTCTAACAGCTTTCTTTGTAGCATTTGTATTTCTAACCTCTAACACTGAGAAGGGGCTTCTTCTAACATTAGATACTTTTTACCCTAACCTTTTACCAAGTTCATCATAGATATGTAGTCCTAAGGTTAAGATATTCATTACTATACCTAAATAATCCAAATCATTTGCAAGACGAACAATAAATTCATGTTCAGCTTGCGAATCTTTTTGTATAGATGAATGAAATAGAGTTTTTTTATTAAAGAAGAAAATACTAATTCGTTCACCAGCTTCTAATCATTTATCATTAAGTTAGGTAAAAAAGACATTTAGATCTACTGGATTTTTGATTTTAATCTGTAATTCCAAATTTTCAGGTAAATGACTATAAAGAATAGGTAGAGCATCTGCAAATGGTAAAGCATTTACACGTGTTCTAATTCATTTTTTATATATTTCTCAAGTATCAATAGAGAGAAATTTATCAGACATAAGCACTTTCATAGAAGTGCTGAAACTAGTTTTACTGCACAATATATTTCTCAAAGCTATGCTATGAATAATACTGGAGTATTGACCGTATTTTCTGCACTATTTTTAAATAGATTAGGAAGAGTGAACCTTCCTGCCATCTTACCTGCTAATATATTAGTTTTTATACCATTATTAAATCCTACAACCCCTAATGAATGACCATAATTAATCGCTTGCATAACCTTATTATAATAGTCAACTGGTAGCTCTTGACCAATATATTACGGTATTTGAGCTAAAAGTGGAGCTATTGAATTTAAAACATCTGCTATAGTAGCCATATTTCCTGGAGAATTTATTTGTAAATTCAAAATAATTTGCCTCGAATTTATTTCTCAGGCTTTCCATTTTTGATATCGATTAAAAACCCAGGCCTGATTTAATTCTGCCAAGTCAGCCTCAACTTTGCGTCTTCGATTTATTGGTTGAAGGGTCACCTTTTCTTGTAATAATATATGGTTACGTCTTTCTGCTTTCTGAGTTCTAAGTCACCATACCTGTCATTCATCTGTTTCATTATTATATGCTAAAATTAATAATTGAGCTCTTCAAAGACATTCATTTCTAATATTTACCATATCATTCATAAGGTTATTGACCTGTCTATTAGCCATATTAAGCAAATCTTGATAATGTAAGGCCTCATTTGATACCCTTTGCATATGAGTATGAATAGTTGTTAATATTATTTGTATACTATTCAAGGTATTTTTTGGGTCAAATAATCTATCTCCATCAACATATAATTCAACACAGTCTATAGCTGTTGCAATATCTGATAATGCCATTGGTGAACTATTTATTTGGGTTAATTTTTTATCTGTAATCTTTCTAATTTACTTCTTAAGCTGTTCAACCATGTCTTATAGCCTTAAAATATGGATATCTTGAATGATACTTGCATTACATTTATGTCTTAAATCCTGTAATGATTTGTGAAGACGCTGTTTAAGAGATTTTATCTCAGTCTTAAGAGATGCTATCTCATCTTCATGAATTAAGATTGTAGAGTCTTGTTGTGATATAGTTTTATAACATGCATCTAG